AATTTTTAAATTAAACATTTTGTTCATTTCGTTATCATAATTAGCTAAATTGGTTTACCCAGTACACCCAATAATATATATTTACAAGCAAGATGAGACGTTTCAAGTTGTTTATCATCCTAATGACACACTCTTAACTCAAGAGAGAATGAGGTATGAGAATCTATCACCCATACTGGGCTTTGCACCCTTCACGAGAACCATTCATTCTATTTTTAACCTCGAGTTATTTTGAGGACGCAATTTGACGCCAGAACGTAGAAGGCGGAGATAAATATACTCTTACGATTTCTTGATCAAATTAGCTAGGAACTCTTCTGGCATCATGACACGTGCCACTGCATGTCTTTAAAAAATGATTCATCTGAGAACAACCTATAGCCCTCCCCTACCTGTTAATCACGGAAAACATCTGTTTAAATACGTCGTTTTTCGACATGTTGATCATTGCACTGGACCATTTATTTGATTGGGAATTATATCATTCTCATGTTTCAAAAACAAATTGTTTATTCTATAGTCACACTGCATTTCATATTTTCAATCGAAAGAAACTAGTTGGATCAATTACCTTAATGCAACAACTATGACGTTATTTCTTATGAATAATCCATGTTCAGTGGTGCACTAGAGTGGTGAAAGGTGTATACTGTTTATAAAGAATAGACATGAAATACGATATCTGTTCTCACTCAAGTGTTGTCACACATCATTTAATGAAATCAAATAAATAAAATATAAACAAACCATGACTATTCTTTTAGACAAATATTTCAAAACGTCTCATGTATCTACATTGCGGAGTAAAGCTTAAAATGTTTGACCCTCCCATCAAACGTGTGATTGACTAAGCGGACGAAATCAACTTCTATATTGCAGGTAAGGTTATCARCCCTTTCAGTTCATTGTAGTCGCCGAGTGGACAAAGAGACTCCGAAAATGATGTCCGTAATTTTGATCCTGTGTCAAATGACGCTGGCGATGAGTGAGTGAAATATTTTAATTAGATGTTTGCTATGATCAAATATCAGTTGTTTGTTTTTTCGTGTAGAGGAYCCATTTGTAGAAGTGATAAAATCCGTTGTTTCACAGAACATAGAGACACCTAAGTTACAAGATCTAAGTTGCACTGTCGTATTCTAAAATAGCATTAACGACGAATGCATCTTTTCCAAGGGGTTGTCATATGACACTCTTACGACAATGTAAACAAACATTTATTGTTTTCTATAAAGCATCTGCATTTTTTCACAACTCTTTTTTAACTTGTTGTACCTACTGACGAAATCCTAAATCGCGCATGTTTTGCCGTGCAATTTCTAAGTACGGGAAGTGTTTGTGTTGCTACGTAGTTTCTATATGTCTAAAATATAAATTCAACTAATTAACATGGGCATGTGTTCCAAGAAAAATGCATTTTCGAAAACATATCAAACTCTTTGTTAGGAATAGAAAAAATCAGTACTATATAATTCAAGATACACATAATTGTTTCAGGTATGAAAGGGAAAGACTTGTCATCTCATGACAACACATCGCTACCGATAAATAAGACAAACAACACCAAGAACGACGTTTGCCTTTTACCCAAAATGGTTGGTCCTGGCCGTGCAAGTTTGCCTCGATTTTATTTCGATGCAACGTCAGGAAAATGCAAAAAGTTTAATTTTGGAGGCATAAAGGGCAATGCAAACAACTTCTTCTCCAAAAAAGAATGTAAGGAAAGGTGTGCTGATCAAGTGCAAAATACAACCAGTCAACCACCAACTACTAGTCAACCAACCACCCAAAAACCTATACAGAGGGATATTTGCTTTTTACCCAAAAAAATTGGTAAGGGACGTGCAAGTTTGCCTCGATTTTATTTCAGTTTGGCAACAGGTCAATGCGAAAATTTTACTTTTGGAGGCGGAAAGGGTAATGCAAACAACTTCTTAACCAAGAAAGAGTGCGAGGAGAAGTGTGTTGTTCGAGTGCAAAATACAACCAGTCAACCACCAACGACCAGTCAACCAACCAACCAAAACTCTACACAGAGCGAAATTTGCTTTTTACCCAAAATGGTTGGTCCGGGCCTTGCAAGTTTGCCTCGGTTTTATTTCAATGCTGGCATGGGCAAATGCGAAAAGTTTGATTTTGGAGGCGGAAAGGGTAATGCAAACAACTTCTTAACCAAGAAAGAGTGCGAGGAGAAGTGCGCTGATCAAGTGCAAAATTCAACAAGTCAACCACCAACGACCAGTGAACCGACCACCCAAATGCCTAATCCAGCAGTAACAACAACTCAACCAGCAACGACAAAAGAAGAAACCGATAACATTTGAAAATCTGGAGGGATTTGAAGGTAAGTGATGAGATGGTCTTGAGATTTAAATAATTTCCTATTCGACGAGTTGTGAATTGTTCTCTGCAATTATGTCAAACACATCGCTTAATGGATGTGCAAGACAATAATCTCTCCTTTTATTGTTGTATTATGATAGGAAACAAAACAAACTCGATCAAAAGCGTGGAAAAATTCAGTTGCTGTATTGCTGCCTTTAAACAAATGAATATTCCTAGAGCACGAAGTGAATAATGCAGCTCATCATCTTATCTTATCTTATAATGACATCATCACTGAGTAATCCATATTTATTTTTATTACACAGGAAGCCTGCCAATCCATAGAATATATCATAGGTATCGCACATCATGGTTTATTAATAGTAATAGTATAATCTATTTCA